TGATATTTCTTCATGTTTTTTACATATAAGTAATTTTAGAAGAACGAATAATAACGCGCATACGCTCATAGCCCCGCACTAGGGAAACCCTGTATCACGGGTGCCATGGACACACACGTAGACAACCACAAGTTACACCTGAATTCACGAGAGAAATAAATGTAGGCCATACAAACATTTCACTCTGTCTGGAAGTCGAACCCGGGACCTCTGTGCTTAGATTTTGATTTAGGACAATGGAAAAATGGAATTAAAATAGAATTTCATACATGTAGCAGTCGTAGTGGGGGAGCGGGCGAGCCATAGCGAGCTTTATTCGCTTGTCAACTGCAATACATTTCTTTTAGAGAGTGAATAGGCATTATTTAGGTGTGCATGTTCCATAGTCAGTTTTCGTCAGTAAACTTTTTGCGCCGATAGCGTGTGTGTATTGCAAGTAAGTTTGCAATACAGGCATTTCGAAAATTATTTTTGTTATTTTTTACAATAAAAATGTTGTCAGGTTTTATACGTAGGCATTATCACAAATGCACAAATGATCTAACCACCTCCCCTCTGTTCGTCCTAAAAAACGCACTGGTTTTAGAGTAGGACATTTCCCGTTTTGACGGGTTTTGTTATTATTTTTCCGTAATGGCGGTCACTAGATTTGGATTAGTGTCAGTTTTGTAAAAATAATATAAAAATTGTAGCCATCGTCTTTGACGTGATATCACCGTAGCAGTTGTCCAACGGCAATAAGGAAAATCACCTTAGTACATCATCATTCTGTGAGAGATCGGAATGGGCAGCGCGACAACTCCCTAACACCTGAGCAGAACAGTCTGATAGCTGTGTTGGTTGGTTGAGAAACAACTCAAGGGAAGTGCGTTCACCTACTCCATTTTGGCCCCGTCAATTTTTTACACATTTTTGATTTGGTCTAATGTATCAACACTAACATTCACGTACAAAAAAAAAACTACTTTTTAAGCATTATATATTATAGATCAGGGTCGAAATAATGTATTTTTTAAATGTAAATTTTTCAGAAGGCGATTATAATATAAATTATGAATTTTGGGTTTTAGTGATACATTTTCTAAAGACGCTTTGTTTACCTACATCACTACAAATTTATGTATACACAATTACTACAACATAGTATTTAAGATCATAAGCGAAATCTGATTCTAAATTTTTTTCTTCCTCAGGAATTATTAGAAAATTAGAATTTTTTTCGTAAACTACACAACACAGCATAGCATACTACTCTCATAGCAATTTTCATTTAATTTAATAGACTAGTTTTCAAGCTAGATCAGATTTTTCTTAAAAAGCCAAGAAAACATATCTTCTGAACTATAAACCTATTTAAAAGACAAAATATATATTTTAAATGGGTAGTTACGACCAGAGTTGTTGTTCATGTAGGTTTTTTACACACCAGCTGGTGTACTGACTGATGCTGATTTTATGTATTTAAACGCAAACAACGCAAAAAATACATCCTTACTGAATCTATCTATATGAAAAAGCTTTCTATTTTGTGCGTTAATAGCTGCGACACAGTCTTAATGACTACTGTAGTTATTAACGAACATAATCTTATCATGTATTTTTTTAAATAATATCAAGTGACGGGACGAACAAGTCGTGCGCCTGGTGGTAAGCTACCCGCCTGTCCATAACAGTTGCAGTGCCACTCAGAGCTTTAAATCGCAAGGATTTGAGGGGCACTGCCACTGCGCCCGTCACACTGAGACATAAGTTGACAAGTCCCATGTGCCTGTGATTTCACCAGCACCCTTACTTCAAAACCGCAACACAGTAATGCTGACATTACTGCTTGGCGGCAGAAATAGGTAATTTGGCAGTACTACCCTAGACGAACTCTTTTACAAGGAGCTCTACTGCTACTGAAATATATCTTGTCATTGTTCCAAATAAACATTTTATTATTATTATTATTTTCTATGGTATTGTAATAAAATATAATTTTAAAGATTTTGTCACATTTATTAATAAAAGAATCAATCTTTATGAAAACAATCAATTAATCGTCCTGGAATTTTATCAAAGTTATATTTTAAAAACAACAGCTAACCTCCTTTTCGGCTTAGAGTCTGTTTCAAGAAGGGTTGTAAATTATTAAAGCGTGTCTTTTATCATGCCACGACTCGAACATCCGCAATGAATATAAGCATCGATGAATGCGCATGCAGATGTTTTAAATTATACAGATCTGTGGATACGGATGCTGATACTCGCAACAACCCTGGTTATGATGTCCTCTACATAAAAAAATATTTGGACCACTGGAAATAGTCTCTGTATAAAAAGATACAACAAGCTCGTTTTACGACGAAATTTACTGTATTTACGACAAAGATTTCAGATACGGCAGTTAATGAGGAGAGAGTAGTCTGAAGCATATGCTTGACGGAATTATTTCCAAATACAAGACAAATAGCTGTCTGTTTTTTTCTGATACACACACATTTATACAGGGTTACAGGAAAAGTCGTGCTAGATCCGTTAAGGGCGTGGAGTACTCATCATTTCTGACTTATTTCACTATGAAACACCCTACCCTAAACTTAACCCTTTTCGAGATATTTGACTTTTATTTTTTTTATTCAAAATTGCCGATTTTTAGGCTACTAAAGTTAATTTTGTTTATTTTGTGTGTCTTATTATTATAATTATTGCATTTTTACATGTGTGATAAGATGCTTTAGGACCTCAATCATTAAAATAGTGAATAAGTTAATTCAATACGCCGTAGTAGAAAAGAGAACGTTAAGAAATTAAAAAAAAAATTAGAAAGTTTATTTTTCTCTAAGGGATATCTAAAAAAAATATTATGGCAGTTGATCGGCAGATAAGTTATAAAATATCTACGTTTCATCAGCTATCTAACAAGGTATAACAATCTAGGATTTGTATTGCATTTCGTGGAAAAAAAAGTAGTTGGGACGCTCCAGGTAGCAGTTCTAACGGTCCCGCGCCTATTGTCCTTAAGTTAAGACGCACCGTGCGAGTGAGACAAGCGACGGTTTATGTAGGTGCGAATGAAAGAAAAAATATTGTAGAGATATCCCGGGATATTGTTTTGTTTGTCAGTCTGCTTTTGTGCTTCGTACACAGTAGATGTGATATCGGTTAGCTCTTTTTCTTGACTTGGCTGTGATTCTGGACTGTTTTTTCCGATTTGTGACTACTGTGCTTATTAACCGGACTTTGATTTGTACTTGTGCTACGGAAGTGTTGAAGATGACGTCGTACACACCTGAGGAATATGCTGATATGCTTATTTGTTACGGATACTGCGATTGTGTGTCTGCGCAAGCTCGCAACGAATACATAGCTCGATTCCCCGGTCGTCGAGTGCCGGATGTGGCTGTTTTTGACAGAGTTTATCGGAGACTTCGAGAAACTGGCTCTATTTTGAGACGAAATACAGACATGGGCAGACCACGAATTAATGACGACGAAGAACAGGACAATGAGATAGTGCAACGCTTTCGAGCGGATCCGACTACTTCCACTAATATTGTTGCCCGTGATCTGGGACTTTCGCAATGGAGAGTGTGGTTTACAGTGCATACTGCTGGCCTATACCCGTACCCGTACCATTACACGCCGGTACACACTATTGAAGAAGGAGACCCCGCGAGAAGGTTGGACTTCTGCAGATTTATGCTAAATGCTGACGTAGAAGACCCAGATTTTCTAAGAAATGTCTTGTGGACAGATGAATAAAAATTTGATAAAGATGGCATAACTAATTATCACAACGCGCATTACTGGGCCCCAAAAGAACTTAGGAATCCCAATAAGAAAAGAGTGAAGGGTTCCCAACGAAGATTCAGCGTGAATGTGTGGATGGGTATTATCTCCAATCATTTGGTTGGACCTTACTTTCTCCCGGACAATCTAAATGGGGAAAGTTACGAAAATTTTTTGAGAGGAGACTTGAGTGATTTGCTGGATGATCTGCCACTTAACTTGATCAGGGACATGTGGTTCCAACATGATGGCTGCCCTGCCCATTTCAGGAGAAGTGTCAGAGACTGGCTGGACACAAATTATCCAAACAAATGGATAGGACGAGGTGGGCCGTTGCCATGGCCAGCAAGAAGTCCGGACCTAACCCCCATGGATTTTCATGTGTGGGGGCGCATGAAAAGTCTTGTCTACAGCGAGTCAAATCCAGTTTCGTCTGTGGAAGAGTCAAAAGAAAGGATTGTGGATGCAGCAAATCAAATGAGGACAACGTTGACCACTGGAGTAGTGAAGACTGGTCTCCGTAGAAGAATGCGACAATGTATTAGAAACAGAGGCGGCCATGTTGAACATGAACTGTAGAATAACAAAAAGTTGTGTGAAAACCTGATTTAATAAATACTTTGCATGCTTACCTATTGTTTTGTTATACTTTTTAGGGCTAAGTATTAATTTTCTCCTCCACTATCGCCTATGAAACTAAGTTTTTTCAATGCATTTAAATAAAACCCTAGATTGTTATACCTTGTTAGATAGCTGATGAAACGTAGATATTTTATAACTTATCTGCCGATCAACTGCCATAATATTTTTTTAGATATCCCTTAGAGAAAAATAAACTTTCTATTTTTTTTTTAATTTCTTAACGTTCTCTTTTCTACTACGGCGTATTGAATTAACTTATTCACTATTTTAATGATTGAGGTCCTAAAGCATCTTATCACACATGTAAAAATGCAATAATTATAATAATAAGACACACAAAATAAACAAAATTAAATTTAGTAGCCTAAAAATCGGCAATTTTGAATAAAAAAAATAAAAGTCAAATATCTCGAAAAGGGTTAAGTTTAGGGTAGGGTGTTTCATAGTAAAATAAGTCAGAAATGATGAGTACTCCACGCCCTTAACGGATCTAGCACGACTTTTCTTGTAACCCTGTATATATATATATTAGTTTGTAAAACATGATAGTAATATACATTCATATATAATAAAAACATCATACTTACGTCAGAATTCACCGTGGCCGTGCGTGATGGCGATATGGGTGAGGCCACCCTGTTCGAGTTTGACTCTCGCTCGCTCGCGCTTGCACTTGAGCTCCCGCTTCCGCTTCCGCTTGTAGTTAGTGCATCTACAAATAATGTAAATTATTAATTTAACATCGGGGTTGACGAACAGGGTGAAATGAAATTCAAAGTAAAAAAGGAAAAAGGGAGAAAAACAGGACCAAGCGTGAAAAAACTTACAGACTAAAGACAGAGCATTAAAAAATAATCAAAGAGCATTAACAAATTTTATTTTTATTATTACTTAATTCAAAAGAAATAGCGAACGGAAGATAATTAACATCGTTTGCAATCTTTGTATTTTACTACGAAGAGCGTCTTCGAATTAAAACTTAATGTTTAATTCGCTTATTGTAACTGCAAAATGGCGCGCGCGTGTCACGATAGTGGCGCTGCACCTGCGTTTCTAAATATTGTATAAAAATTAGTAGTGGCGCGGCTGCAGCGCCACAGTGGTGCCACTGCAGAGCTTCTACAAGTGTACATTTAAAAGCGCCCTAAATCGGATACAAAAGACATTAAATCTAATAGTTTTCTATTTAAAAGTGATACTTTCATTAATGTTTAAAATTTCATTTCGTCGTTGTAAAATGCAGGCTTCTTTTTTTAACCGACAAATTGTTTGTGTGATTACTCGATATTTGTGAACCGATTTTGATGATTCTTTTTTGTTGGAAAGAGGATACCTCAGTATTGGCCACATTTAAATTTGAAGAACATATTTCACCCCTAAGGGTGACAAACTAGGGGATGAATCCGTTTTCGCGATCTTCCCGGTAACCGATTTCAATAAAACTTTTGAAATAGATGTAATTCCACGAACTTTTGAGGTCGATTTTTTTATAAAAAAGTTATAATTTCATGTAGTGAACTGTTGTATGTTTTGTGAAAATTGTTGAAAATTCAATCATAGACTCTATTGCAAAGCCTTTAGAAGAATGTAAGGAAAAGCCTTTCTTTTCATTTGTGGCAATGTCCATTTAAATTGAATAATATTAATACTAATACAAGATTGTAAGTTATTGTGTATATATTTACTAACTAACATTTTTATCTGAAATAAATGTTTTTGAATTTGAATTTGAATGTCATAAGAGGCAACTTACTGGGGTCGCGTGGTGGAAGCGGCGGAGGTGGTTGGTGGTGGTTCTCTGTGTGCCTGCGCAGGGATCGAGCATCGCAGTATGATTTACCGCAACCGTCTGCCTTGCACTCGTACGGCTTTTTGTTCCGGTGTGTGAGCATATGCCCATTGCTGTCAAAAAACAATTGTAATGAAATAACTGACACGTCAACAAAATAATAAAAAATATGGCTAAAAAGTCGTTGAAAAAAAAATATCCGAATCCGGCCGGATCGAAAGAATTTTTTCTAAGTGTTCGATCTTTGTATTAATAATTATAACAAACTAGTAGAGCAATTTCACAAAAAATCGTTGAATATTAATTCAATAAAAATTTAAATACAATGAATAGCGACATCTCTAGCCAGGGCTGGTAGCTGTAAAGGTATCTAACTGAGTGACGAAATACTTAAGACCAGGAGAATGTTGTCTGAAGAAAAGAACAAGAAGATGGAAGCGGAGTTCAATGATCTGAATGAGTGAGGGCACTGACAGATAGGCTTCTTAATGAACGCGATTTATATGAAATGGAAATGCAAGCGCTCAAGACTTCACGTATGACATCAAAAGGGAAATTTGATGAAATTCGACGATTTTGTGAAGAATTAGAAAAAGAGTGCAAACGAAAGGAATTAATTACAGAGAGCTTTCGAAAAAATCACCAAGAACACGAAGACCGTATTAGATTTCATGAAAGACACTTAATGGAATCAAATGCTGAAGTTGCATCATTACATGAACAAAGCGGAAATTACGGCCACTTAACGTCCTTGTCACCCAGTGATGAACTAGCCATGGGAGACAGGAAGGTATGCAATAGAAAATTATGCAGCACTAAATCGCAAGACCCAAGATTTTCCAAATTAACCAACCCGATAAGCATGAAATCAAAAACACTTCAGAAACTAAAATCAGCAAAGTTAAATTTACATAAGGACAAGGTGAAGATGGCCGAACAAGTGAAAGATCTGGAATTAGATTTTCAATCGCGAACAAAAGATCTACTGTCTACGCAAAAACAACTGGAAGAACTTTCAGCTGCAACTAATGAGCTTTTAAAGATGGGCACTGAGTACAGAAAACTTACTCAAGTCCTTCTTCAGGATGAGCTTAGTGAAACAGTTGATCCAGTAGAAATAAATCAAACTCCACATCCCCACCACCCACATCATCAACGCAACCATCACGTGCATCTTATGTCAGTGTTGCTGCAGGAAAACGTATCTGCTCCACTACAATTGTTGAAGTTCGATACAGTCAACGGTCAACTAAGACTATTAGAACTCCTACCAGGCCATCTAGAAGAACGGTAGTTTTTTCTGATAAAATAGGTGTTGGACTAGGCCACCACCTAAGTAGCCACTTAAAACAAAGGGTAGTCAGCTATTGCTATCCAGGAGCTACTTTTAGTCAAATTATTACACTGTTAAGTGGTTGCAACTGTGATAAATATACAACAGTGATTCTCATAATATGTGATAGTAATAACATTAGTAAAAAAGAAGTAAATAGTAGCATTGACGTGTTCTTGAGAATTCATGAGAAGTTTGGGTGTAAATTCATACTAAGTGCATTCCCGTACTGCTCTAACCTAGGCATCGCTCACAATAAGTATATTTATATATATAACATAAATTCGCATATTCATAATTTGACTTGCCGTCATAGTGACGTTTTGTCATTAATAAGTTCGTAAGGAACTTCAAAGTTTTTGAGGATAATTTACTTTTACCCATAGGGTATCTGAGACATATAGCTAGTTTGCTATCTTTTAATATTAAGGACGCTGTTATAGAAGATATAACACAGTCCCACAACAATGCTCCTACTTTAAGTAGCAACAGTATACTTATTACTAACCATAATTTAAACTGAAAAACACGACAACAGAAAAGTCTAATCATTTCCATATAGTACATCAAAATTTTCAATATACCGGAGGTTCCAAATACTTTGTATAGCACGATATTTGGTTTAATTAAAAATGAATTTGATAATGTATTTAAATCGAAAACATTAACTTTCCATAGAGAGACGAAATTCAACGACTGGGCAACAGTAGGTATTCATAAGAGTAGGTCTCGTTTGTATGAGCTATATGCTATGAAAATTTATAATACTAATTCCAATTTCATAGAATATGTTAGAAATTATTCAAATATATTTTAAAAAATATGTGCAGCTGCTAAGTTTAAGTTTCCCAGCCATATAATTAGACAATATGTAAACAAATCTAAAATTACTTGGAGCATAATAAATAAAGAGTCAGGCAGGGTTAAACAACACGATAGAGGTGTAGTTTTAAAATTAGACGGCAAAGTTATAAAATCTAAAGACAAGGTAGCCCAAGCTTTTGAATCGTTCTTTTCGGAAATTGCTGTGAACACTACAGAATCATTAAATTCCTCCCCTTCTCTTGCTATTGATCTCCTAAGGAAAATCTTAACATTTGTGGCAGTTTATTTAATTTCGGTCATGTTAATCCACAAGACATAAAAGCTTTTAAATCAATACATGTTAAAAAACTGAAGATGTCTGGGGCATATCAACTAAAGTTATAGATTCAGTGATTTTTCGAAAAGAGCAATCCCTAAAGTATCTTGCTCGTTCTTCTCGGGGAAGTCAACGTAATGAACGAGCAGTAGCTTAATGTAATGTAATGTAATGTTTTCAAGTGTAAATTTATTTTAACTATGGAATAAATGATCTTTGACTTTGACGGCTAAAAAGTAGTTGAAAAACCAAAATACAAAGACACGACAACAAACATAGAAAAATTAGTGAGATCCGCTGGTTCGTTCCGTGGCTTAGTTGGTATAGCATACGTCTACGTCTTCTAGCATACCTGATACGGTATGCTAGAAGACGTCGGGTCGAATCCGGCCGGTTCGAAGGAATTTATTCTGAGTGTTCGATCTTTGTATTAATAATCATAACAAAATAAACAAACACTTTTTTGTCACAAAATTTACGTTTTATCTTACTTATTTTATTACTCACTTATTGGTTATTTGTAAACATCGGGTATATAAGCAGAAATAGAGACGAAATAAGAGCCATCCATCCCTGGCAAATGGGCCTTATATCACTTTTAAATATCAACTCTCGCTTGCACTGAAATCGCAAATTAGAAAACTGAAATTGTACAGCGCCAACAACTGAGCGTGTGTACGTCTCCGTATATTCCAAAAATATTTTGTATTTATTTTAACAAAGGTAATATCTCTAACAATGGGGGTCTGTGCCATTCGGTGGTGTGGGTAACACAGCAAAACATCTAATTTCAAAACAAACGGAATCACATTTCAACGGTAATTAAATATGTAATTTTTCAATTTTCGTCCATTATAGCAAAACTCAAGTTAAACTGGTCGCTTTGAAGTGAAACAATTGACGACACCCGTCAATTGATTCGAATTCCAGCAGGCCAATCGGAGCGCAGTTGTCACCGTAATGATATGGCTGAATAGTTTTCAAACAAATTAAATGACATTTCGTCTCTGTTTCTGATTATATACTCGATGTTTGTAAAATACTAATAACCTTGCAAGAATATACTGCTAACATTATAAATAACAACTTTTGTTCCGTGACATTTTTATAAAACATAATAAATAAATTTACCAAAAATGAATTTTGAACTTTTTGTTATATACTATCTGAAACTTTTTAGACCTGTATTTTAGTAAAGTAGTACTCGTAAGTTGAAACGAGCAAACGTCCTCCCTGATGAACCCCACCGTCGCTCCTGCGTTTTGTATCGGACTGATAGTTACACTAGCGCTTTTTTTTACCACAAAGAGTTATCACAGTTTAGAGAAATCTATTTAAATATTTTTATTTCATTTTTGTACGAAGGTAAAATCTGATGAATTGTTAAAGTAACGGAATTAAAGATGTTGTTTTATTATGGTGTTAGTAATATAGTCCTGCAAGGTTGTTAGTATTTTACAACTACCCCACTACAACGTACCCCGCCCGCGCATAGCTAAAAAGAATTTGAAACGGGTTCTCCGCACAGCTTTGGTGGAAAACATCACATCGTTTCACAGCGCCGCTACACATCCTCGCACTGCCTCGCTACCTCGCACATCTCTGGTGGAAAGGCAGCCTAAGTCACCAGAAAGGTGTTAGGCCACTTACACACAGTATCACAAACACACCTGGTCAACAGACTAAGTCACAAAGTTAACACGTGAGTGATGTAGTCAATACAAACATGTCGTTATGGACAGACCGTGCGCATTAATATGCATATGGGTAAGCCAACAATTCAAGGGACTTTTCGACATATGTACGTGTAGAATGTAGAACACGCAGAAGTGGCAGTGCTTTGATGTGAGCGAATTAAATGCCTACCCTTGTCAAGCAAGTCGTTTGAACATTTTTATATAATAATAATTATGTACGGTTTGTAAAAATAGCATTTACTTACAAGACAAGGGACTTTTAAAGTCCATACAAAATATATTATATATTTTTTGTATGTTTTTGTCACAGAAGGTTTGTTAACCCTTCACAGACCCGTTATTGTCCTGTTACCGTGTACTACTGTAATAATAAAACAGTAAACAGAATATGAAAGTACAAGGTGTCTCTTTTTGTTATATGGCTTTCAAAAAACTAACTACGGTCTAAAGTGCGATTTCCAAGTGCTTTCAGTTTACTTGCCGCCTACGGCTTCTCTATAGAGATGTATCAACAACGTACTGACAAAATGAAACGATTTACACGCACACATTTATGGACGTTGCACACACATTTTTCAGATTTGCATACGTAAACTAACTTTACATTGCCGTGGAAGGGAATGGAAGCGAATTTAGAATTTGTAGGATAATGAATTTTATGGAAAAGGCTGAACTCACACAAGCGCAGAGTCGAAGCGTCGCGACGCGTCATGTTTTTCGCTTATAGCATATTCATCTCTATTTTCCCATTAGTAAGGTACAAATTTGTGTTATGCAAATATGGAATCACGCGTCGACGCTTGGTTAAAGTTGAGCGGTTTTGCGCGTCGCCGCGCGTTCTTTGTGCGCAGTGAGGAGTCAGACGCCGACCACACTGTGATCTGGGCGTCGTCCTAATGCGAGCGTCGTCGCGAGACAACGAGCGTCGCCAAGCGTTGTAGTTGAAAAACAGGACGCGACGCGACGTTTCGTGTCTGGGCCAGAGTGAGTTGAGCCAAAACTGTAAATTTACAAATTCGATATTAAATGGTAGCTGAGGGTATTCCCGAGATTGTGGAATTCTCTTGAAGACGCGCGACCTGTTTTTTGACCCGCATCTAGTTGTACATTACACAATTCATTATTTTATGATTAAAAAGTTCGCTTCCATACCGATCCGCGGTAATGTATATTGAGCCTGAATGCTTGGATGATACACTAGGTGATAAAATGTCCGGGGCGGAGTGGCGTTGGCGATAAGCCTAGACATCGTCAATGCCTTCAACTCTTTGCTTTGGTGGACCGTTAAGGAGGCACTCGAGTATCACCGAGTGCCTCCGTACCTGAAGCGAGTTGTCGGGTCCTACCTAAGCGATAAGTACATTACGTACCCGGATCGGGATGGCGCAAGCCACTGCAGAGAGGTTGTGTGTGGGGTCCGCAGGGGTCCGTCTTAGGACCACTCCTTTGCAACCTCGCATACGATGCAGTCTTGAGGGTCGAACTACCCGCGGGCGTGCATCTGTTGTGTTACGCCGACGACACCCTGGTGCTTGCCGGAGGGGAGGACCATTCAGCTCGCTGAGCTCGGGGTTTCTCGCGTCGTCGAAAAATTCGAGGCACTGGGTCTACACGGGTAGCGCATCAAAAAACTGAGGCGCTGTGGTTCCACAAACTTCCGCGACTGAGGGAACCACCCAGTTACTCGATTCGCGTTGGTGACGTCGACGTCCAGGAAGGGCAGTACTTAAAGTACCTGGGCCTCATCCTGGACGGCCGCTGGGACTTCGAGGAGCACTTCCGGCGCCTGGTTTCCCGGATCGATAGGGTGGCGGGTGCAATGCACCGGTTGCTGCCCAATCTGGGGGGCCCTTCCGAGGGAGTTCGCCGCTTATGCGGCGGGGTGGTGCGATCCGTGGCCGTATACGGGGCGCCTGTCTGGTCACATCGACTGACAGGCGTTCGGCGCTGTAGAGCCATTCTCAATGGCGTGCAGCGTCGCATGGCCATTAGGATCGCACGAGGATACCGCACCGTATCCTTCGACGCGGCGACTGTCCTGACGCGGTTTCCCCCGCTGGACATCCTGGCGGAGATGGACGCGGGTATTTACGCGCGCCTCCGCCAGGCGGAGAAAGCTGCGCCGCCGGAAGTGCGGTGGCAGGAGCGCCGACAGGCGTTCGAAAAATGGCGCGAGAAGCTGATGACAGGATCCTGGTTGCCCGGATCGGGCGAGATCTCTCTCCGCCAGGCATAGTAGCGGCTATGCTGGCGGATCACAAGTCCCATGAGGCAGTGGTCTCCTTCTGTGAAGCGGTGATGCTCCAGAAGGAGGTCGCCCGAGCGCGATCGGGAGATGGTCGATCCCGCTCGGCGGCAGCGTACCTTCGCGGTTGCGGGCGATCGGAGCGGGGGCTCCGTTGCGGCTTATCCGCTGCCCCCGCGGCGGAGAGGTATCCTAGGAAGATTTCCCCACGAAGAAAAAAGGGGATAAAATGTTCCCCAACACGACGCGCAACAGTCAATCTACGTATTCCTGGAACGTTGCCCAGTGTCCCGCAACATGCCGCGCAACGTTTTGTTACGTATTTACGTGACGCCGAACATGTTGCAAGCTCCCGCTCTCCGAGCGCGAAAACTTGTGCCGCGCGTACCGCTTTCATTATTGTCGAGTGTAGTCGTGTGCGCAACGTGACTCTCAACATGTCTGTAGTGTGGGGGAATATAAACACTGGCAAGTGTATCAAGGCTAGGCCTGCAAAATGTTGCGAGACATTGTCCCCGGGACATTTCGGCTAGATGTTGAGCGCTATGTTACGCGACATGTCGCTCCATTTGTCCCCAAGTGTATCTAGGACTTAATACAGTACGGCAGACACCGACTAGTTTGTATAAGGTGATACAACACCCTGCATGCTAGTGCAAGAAACATTTGTAAATAGCAGTACCTATGGTACCAACAAAAAAACGACTGACAATTTGGTTAAGTACTGTCCATGAACGGATTAATTAAAAACTTTGTGCCGTAGTCAGAGATGGGCAAGTGCCAGGGTTTTAACTTTGTGCTTAGTTAAGCGCCGGATTTAAATCGGGTTAAAACTCCAAAATCCAACCCAAAATCGAGGGCAAAACATATTTACAAATACCTAAATATTTGTTGTAAAACGAGTTTCGTTCAAATTGAATGATATTATTACAAAATGTTTATTGCTTTCTGATTTAAACAATTCAATATGCCTTTGCTCTGATCTTAACTTATCCTAGTCTAGGTAAAGAAAAACTCTTATTAATTCGTATGAAGAATCGTTTAGACTAATAACAAAATAATTTAATATATTTACCAACATTTAGATGTTTCTAAGGTAAGAAAAAAGATAAAGAATACTGCATTTAAATCTTCATGAATAGTCGTATATTGTATTCAGAAAAAAATCTCACTAGAAACGAAAATTGAATAAAGTTACTCACAGATGGTCCTGCCTCTTGAAGGCTTTCGCGCATGTAATGCACACATATTTTCTCTCGTCACTGTGCGTCAGCTTGTGTTTAGCTAATGCCGAAGCGTTGCCGAAGATTTTGTTGCATACCTGTAATAGATAATTAATGTTAATAGTTTTAATCATTATGAAATGAGATGTGAAAGTTAACGGACAGTTAGAGAATAGGAAGGTCACTCTCCGCCTCTCCTTAGCTTTAGACACCACACCGCGCTCCACATATTGTTGCAACATTGACGGAACGGCACCAAGGCTGTCAGTGAGATGTTCGCTAAGAACGACTTTGATGTTCAAACAGTTAAAAAGTATTATAATTATTAATACAAAGATCGAACCGAGACGAATAATTCCGGCTGGATTGGAACCAACGTCTTTTAGCAAACTGTGTCAGACGCTATGTCAACTAAGCCACGGAACGAACCAGCGGACCTTAAGTATTTTTCTATGTGCTTGTTGCAGATCTTTGTTCTGGTTTTTAACCACTTTTTACTTTACTCGTTTTTCTATTAATGTAACTCATAGTCAGCTGTTGGTATGGTCTGTAAAGGTACATAGCTGAGTGAAGAAATAGATTTGTCAAAGATGGTGTTATCGCAAAAAAAGTCGTTAAAAACCAAAATCATACGCGATTTAATCGAAATCGAAATCCCGATGGAACTCGATATTAAATAATATTATTAATATTAATGTGCGAGACAATCACATCAATTTACCTGGTCTCAAGGAAATCCTTTTAGGTCCTGTGAGTACCAGAAGAACAAAATCAACTTCACTACTATCCAGAACACCCAGAACAGAACCAATCTAGGAAGTTAATTTCCCAAAAAACTTTTCCGAAAATTGAACCCTGCTAACAGATTGCCCACTCAGGTCGTCAAATGGGTAATATTGAATTGGTTATTGTCAATGTAATGAATTTTATTTTGTTTCAAACTGCATTTAAAATTAAGTAAAAAAAATTGAAATTAATCATTCGACTGTTGTCGAATGATTAATTTTCACCGACTGTCTTATCTACATCGAAATCCTTTTCAAGACTATGATCACTTTAAGAGGGCTTCACAAAGAATAATAAAAAAATATGGCGCTGCAATGCGTCTCTAAATAGAGTGTGACGTCGTATTTTCGAAAATGTTTCACTTGCGAAAATTTGATTAAAAGCAATTTCAAAATGTTGGTTGTCTTTGCAGATTACTTGAGATTCAAAGTATTATTCGATAGTAATGAGATATTACTTTTTTTTATGATACGACGTGGCGGGAAGGACAAGTCGTGCGCCTGGTGTTAAGCGACATGCGTATAACATAACACTTGCAGTGCCACTCGGAGCTTTAAATCGCAAAGATCTGAGAGGCACTGCCATTGCTGCTGTCACCTTGAGACATAAGTAAACAAGTCTCATGTGTCTGCAATTTCCCAGCACTCTTACCCTTCAAAACCGAAACGCAGTAATGCTCACATTACTGCTCGGCAACAGAAATAGGTATGGTGGCAATACTTTCCTGGATGAACTCTTTCACAAGGAGCTCTATTGCAACTCAAAATATTGATAGAATGTAAAATATAATACAATTTGAAACAGTTTTAGTTTAAATACAAAACCACCGTGAGACTCAGACATAAAAAGTAAACTAACGGATAACTCACGTATTTAAGTCGAAATTGAATAAAAATGAAGCAAACTACGTAATTACTACAGTTTTACTGAGTGACCGGGCTGCCACGGCTTTGGCGCGCAGTTTCCGTTGAGTCACCGCCGCCGAATCGCACGATAAAGGACCACGAACTGGTTAGAAACATGTCGAGCAAAAATTCGACTTAAATACATGAGTTATCCTTTAGTTTAGTCAAAAGTCTTAGTTTAGAACAAAAATCAGTCAAGGAGCTTGTTTTCACGCACGTACAGTTGTTTGAAGGAACTATTAATTTATTAGGAAGTTTTTACATCATACAAACTGAGGTCAATTTTGTCTATTCACGTGCATGTTTAATTAATTCATATTTATAGAAACATTCACTTTACCGTATTCACGCGATTAAGAGGGAAAGACCATTTAGCTTGAGGTCTGAACCATAGTATAATAAAACAAGTATGGTAACTCCATACAAACGTAGCAGCGTGTCTTGTAGTTTTGCGTGCCATATACGGACACACACATTTGCATAATCTTGCGATGCTCTCGCGTTGCCGCGCGGGTTGCCGCACGCCTCATTAATTTATAGAATTAAAGCGACCGGGTGTTTAAAAAATAACATCAAAAAGTAATCGTATTTATTGCTGCATTTGTGGTAGTTTGAACCTAGATTATCCTGCATTTATTTCATTTCTATTTCATAATCATACTCCATAATTAAATTACTGATACAAAAATATCGACACCACCTACGACATGCACTTTTAACAAAGGTTATTTCAACGTAACACGAGAATAAATTCTTTAGATGCAACTAAAATAACGATGTACATGTATGTAACAACTCTACGCTCCGAGCGAAGTGTAGGGCATTCACGGGCTGAATAGGCGTGAGTTGCCCCACTTGCTCTTATTTTACTATGTCTTAACGGCGGGATTGAAGAACTCTCCGGCTTCGTCCCGTGTTTGTTTCATCTAATTAAGTTTTCGTCTCTTTATCCTGTTTTTATTTCGGATGTCCGGACCGGTCTGGGGTGTGTTTACTGAGCACTGATTATGCGTAGTACTTTTTATTTATTTGGTTAGATTGGCTTTGAGAGTGAGCGTTCTATTTAAAGAAATATCCACAAGACGACTGGCCGCAGGCGGTAACGATCTGCGAATCAAATTGAACCTGAAAACATTGATATACTTTTTAAGTTTGAATACTTTCCTATATTTAGACACTTTACTAAATATCATCGAATTACAGTGAATGAAAACAATATGGATGAATTTTTCCGCTGTTTGAAGTTACGTGACGTCTTCAACCTGCATTAAGCTAGCATGGCTAACTACGGCCTGAACCTTGTTTTAGAGGAGAACTAAGTTCAGGAGTGAGACGGATATGGGTTAAAGGGAAAGGGTAACTGGGTATCTGTGCATTAATTAGATTTAGGTACAGTCAGCATTTAAATTATACGAGTAATCCAACTAACGAAATTTGTATACACATTTGATAAAAATCTATATACTCTCTTTAATCTTAAGATGAAATTTTAATTATAATTCTGATAAATATCAGTATCAATTAAGTGTATGTTTACCTTTATACACTAGCTGTTAGAGCAATGAAAGTCAATGGAACCCTTTTTTTTTATTAAAAATAGAAGCACGCCTCAATACCTTCAACTCACTAAAACCGCTATCAATGCCGAACATAAATAAAGAATTTTCTATTTTATTTGATCCATAAAGATCTATCTTTATTTATCTTGCGGGCAAACGGTCCTATTGTCTAATTAAACGACGACCTATATACAATGGGGAAGAAGGGTCAGGGAGCCAGGGTTACATCGATGCTCACGGTCCATTGTCTGCAGGTTATTATGTGCGGTATTTGAATATTTTAGGGTTGACCCTAGAGATGTTCGTGTTTCGGGTGAAAGTAAAACATTATGATAGAGATATATTTAATATGTACAGCGGAATCAACATTTTTTAATGATTTTGCACTCTTGGTCTAATAAGGCCTATAATTAGTAGTAGTGTAGAGCTCATTGTGAAAGAGTTCGTCTAGAGAAGTACTGCCTCCTTACCTATTTCTGCCGTAAAGCTTTAAGCTTTAATGACAACTGTTATGGACAGGCGTGTCGCTTACCACCAGGCGCACGACTCGATCGTCCCGCCACTTGGTATCATAAAATGGATAATTTTCCAGGAGAGAAAGTAAAAGTTAAATAATTTATTTTCACTTCTCACGCTCTTAAAGTTCGTATTTATGCTGGGTGTAGGTTGCATAGAACAGGATTTTATGCTCTAAATGATTAATTTTATCCTACACTTGTTGTACAATCTACTATTCCATGTCACAATGAAGCTTACAAAATACAATCAAAGTGGGTAGATATGTGAAAAGTATCATGTGACGTCTTGTAAGGGCATTTTGTTATAATCGATTAATAAATTTAGACAGATTTACTTAAGAAAATAGATATTTCAAACAATTCCAATGTATGCAGTAAATTATGATTTAATATGGTTAATTTTAACAGTTAGGACAGCGGTTAGCCTCGTTTTGGCGAAAAGGCGCAGGTTCGAATACAGCCGGATAGCCGGATGTTATTTCGATATTTGTATTATAATAATTCTACTTTACTGACGTATGAAGACACTTTTCTTTCTTAATAATTCGATGTATACGAATAATACAAATTTCCTATTATGTTACCATGTTTTTCTTGTGCTCTAAGAGCGTGTTTCGATTCGTATTTTGAATTGCACTTTCTCACAGAATAAGATTTATTTAATAAAAAATATTACTCTCACACAAAATAAGATTTATTTAAAAAAAAAATGTTCAATTGTTAAACTAAAGGTACTGTGATGCTAGCTTAGAGGATGGAAAAAGAAGAGGAGCTGGTCAATAACAAGGCGAAGATTTTGTTTTATTATTTTTTTAATTTTTTAAAATAATTTTAATTATTTTATTAAGAAGTAGACTCTCTGTGTTACGAAACTTAGTTCTGGTATCACTTTTAGTGCGCGTTTCCACGGCCCGTGAGGTCAAACGCGTCGATTGGTACGGGCGAGCTTGCGAAACGTTGGAGTACGGGCCGCCTCGCCCTCGTGCCAACGCGCGTGGCTAGCCGTATTCGAGTATGTATCGAGTGCTATGCCGCGTCGCGCTTATGAAGTTACCGACTAGCGGTGGATCCGAAAAGGCAGCCACGGGCGAGCACAGGCGAGGACGGGCGCGCTCGGGCGGCCCTCTTCCTACAGCGCGTTTACGCGAAATGCGCAGTATGAAATCGACTACTAGACTAGATACCAATCTCTATATCTCAATATACCATTGGGTGGATAAAGAATACAAAATATCGGTTTGGTATTATTTATCTTTTGGCCATTAATTTCGTTTGCAGACAGCGGATTAGATACGAAACAATAACTTGTAGCACAAGAGACATATTTCCG